ATTTTGAAACACCACTTACATGCATAAGCTCTTGTAAGCGGCCATTTATCCCCTACACCTCTAGTGGCTGCTTATGAGAACCATTCTCGTAAGCAGCCAACTCCAGTTACAGACACTTTTTTCGCGTCCCGAGGGTGTCTGCTTACGAGAGCTTCGACTGTACCACATACTTATCAACTGCCATTTGACCACAGTAATTTTGACGACGATTTTAATTCCTTCAGTTTGGCATCAGTAATCTGCAGTACCTTTCTGTTACAGTTGACTCCTGATAACAGTTACGAGAACCACTGCTACAATACAGTGTACATGTACATGTAACTCAAACTTTGCACAAATGCGAACCAAAGCGAAGCTCCCCTGGATTTCCGTCATACATTATTTTACTGTCAACTTTACCTTCAGTAACTCATACCCGTGAATACCCGTGATAACTCGACCCTTCCGCTAACTCAAAGCAATTTTTGTTTCCCCTCNGTAGCAGTTATGCCCCACATTCTCTCTGAAACTTGCAAAGTTAGTAGTAACTTGACTTCTCCTGCTGCTTTTCTTTGCTTTCTAATTGTTTCTCATTTCATTTACACATTCTGATTTATGCAGTAATTTAGTCTAAACGTATTGTTCATTTTCACTTAACCTCTCTACAATTGAATTTCATTAAAATGTGCTTTGTATGAATAGAAATCTGTACCGTAAACACCTTTTTTTCCTTATCTCTTGTCACATGACATTCTCAACTCCCGATGACAAACTTCCAATAACTCTAATGTTTTTCAATTTCTCTTGAAGGTTTGAGTTATCAGCAGTTGACTGTTCTTAGTTTGCAGTAGTTAATCTTCAGAATAGCCAAAAAAAAAAAGAGAAAAAATTCGCGAAATGAAAGGCATGCATTTAAATCCCAGAGTAACTCAGTATTAGTATTTTTCTTGGATTGTAGAGGCATATGTTATGCCGTCACATGAGGAGAGCGATGAGTTTTCTGACAGTGACCCATGGGGGTCAGACTTTGAGACAGAAGGTGACATCACTGATGCAGGGAGTATCCGCACACAGGAAGATCTCAATGACGAGGAAGAAGAAGATCCGTATGATTCAGTGGAGATAAGCCCCATGAGGGAACGAAGAAGACCGGTAAGCATAACCATCATGATGGCTTGTTATTTTTGCAATACTGTCTAATAAACACTTTCATCTTTGAGAAATAAATCATAAAACTTTTCCATTGTTGGGAAGCAAATGCAGTGAACATTACTAAGTTTAAAGTGGTCTGGTAGGAACTGGTACTAGTGACTAGAAAAGTGGTCAGATCTCGTGTACTAAAGGCATTGTGAGTTGAGTGTTGATTGATACCTTTGATTGACACTCCATCAACATCTTGATCGGCATCTCGCTTAACACTTGATTGGCATCTTGATCAATATTCGACGGGTCAACACTTGGTTGACACTCGATGGACATCTCGATCGACACACGATTGACAATATTATTGGTCGATAGCTGGCAGAGTGTCAACCAACTCGTACATGCACATGTATTATTGGTCAACACTCTATGGCATGTCTGTAAAAATAAGTCAACTCTCAACTGACTTGTGACATAGTATCTATGGAGATATCTATCAAGTGACAGTGAAGAATGATCATCGCAGTTAATTTTCCAATTTAAGCAATTGGAAAGAAGAAGCCTGAAAAAAATCAGGGCTTCAACGGGATTCGAACCCGTGACCTCCGCGATACCGGTGCGATGCTCTACCAACTGAGCTATGAAGCCACACATTGGGAGCGAGGTCAATTAATTG